CCCTGTGAGGCTTCTCGGATCAGCCAAGCCGCAGCTGGACAGCGATGCGGACCCTTCGGGGGCAGCCCAAGCTGGAGAAGAGACCCTGGACTCAGCAGGCCCTGGCTCTGGACCTGGCTCGGCCCCTGCCTCCCAGGGACACTTGGGACATTCGTTTCCTCCCTGAGTGTGTTTCTCACAAAAGGAAGGCTAGAAGCTTCCTTGTGTTCCGCCGAGTCTATAGCGTGAATGCCAGGGGGGAAGGCTGCCGGCCCCCCTCACTCTCTGAGGCTTGCTCAGCCCCATCAGGCCTTCACCAAGGCCTGCCGGGTAGCCCCCGAGGAGTGTCCCCAGCTGGAATCCTACAACTTGGGGCAGCCCCTTGTCAGGGCTCTTGGGGTTCCCGTCTCAGTGTCCTGAGGACCTCCTGTCTCTAGCCCCTCTCAGGGAAACAGTCTCCACTCGGGAGCCCAGGCACGTGTCTTCTCTTCGGACTAAGGGTGGCGAGGGAAGGCTGCAAGGGGATCAGCCCTATGCCCTCCCATGATGAGCAGACCGTTGTAGGCCACAGGGTTTCTGGGGATTGATTTCTGGAAGTAGATCACCAGGCCTTTCTTCCTAGTCTGCTCAAGTCTGGAAGCTCCACTGGAACCCAGCAAGGGAGGGGTTGTGGGTGCGTATGGGGTCTCTCGGGGTCTCCTGCGTGGAAGGGGAGGATCCGGTGCTGAACCTCTGCTGCTTCACTTTCGGTCCAAGTTCACGACGAAGCACCATGGTGACATTCTCTCCTAGTGTCACACAGCGCCCTTGAGAGGGAGGCAGTTGCCCTGCCCGGGGGGCAAGTCTGGAAGTATCCAGACTTCAACTCAGTCACCAGGCTCCCAGCTCAGCACTCTCTCTGCTCGGCCACGCTGATCCTTGGAGCCTGACACAGGGGGCTGAGGAGAGGAGTCACATCAGGAAGGGAGGGCTGGGGTTCCGCTGTCTGGCAGGCTGTCTTAAGTGGAGGTGTGACCGGCTGGCAGATACAGGGCCTCTCAGAGAGTGGTATGGACTAAACTGTGTCCCCCGCCGGCCCTGCCTCACGTGCATTCTCAGACCACTGCCATTGAGTCTTTTCTGACTCAAGGCAGACCTACAGGGCAGAGCAGAGATGCCTGGGTGGGTTTCCGAGATTGGCACTTTTTACAGGAGCGGAAAGCCTCGCCTTTCTTCTGAGGAGTGGCTGATGGTTTCGAACTGCAGCCCAGCCCATAACCACAACACCACGGGAGCCCTGTGTCCAAATTATGTTGAAGCCTACACCCCTGGTATTTGTGGATGTAAGGACTAACCAGAATAGGGAGAGTCCTAATCCAATCCAATCTTCTCTTCTTATAAAAGAGGAGAACAAATACACACAGAGGAAATGAGGGCCACGTGAAAATGCTCCTACAAGCCCAGGGTACCCAAAGCTGGGACAAAAGAAAGGCCGTCTTCGAGAGCATTTGGAGGGAATACGGCCCTGCTGACACCCTGGATGCAGACTTGTAGCCACCAGAACTTCGAGGCCACACGTTTCTGTTGTGACCAGCCTCCCAGTTTGTGGTATTTGGCTTCAGTAGCCCTGGGAAACGGACAGAGGAGAACAGCCGCTTTGGCCGCTTTGGCGAAGGGCAGGAACAGGTCTGGGGTGAAGCTAAAGAGGTGTAGGAGGGTCTCTACACCGTCAAACCCAGGAGCCCAGGACTGAGCTCGGGAAACTGACCTGGGCGGGCAGCGGGAGCCACGAAAGGTGTTGGAGGCAGGGAGGGGGCCCTGTGCTAGGTGCCACGTGTTGAAAGCAATGGCCTCTACCATTCACCTTTGTTGTGGGCTTCCTGTGGGCCAAGCCGGGCAACTGAGACTCAGATGAAACCCAGGAACTCCAGGGCCAGTGGAGTCTATGTGGGGCTATGTCCCACATGCGCCAACCGTGGGGCCATTCTTGATGCTGGGCTGCACTTGCCCCAGGTCTTTGCGGGGGAATTTCCAGGAGTGTGAGCAGGGGAGGCTTGTGGAAGAGTCTATTCCGTCCCCCTGCATAGCCCCCGGTCTTTGCATCTACTTGCCCGAGGCGAGGAAGGCCTCCCAGAGAAAGTCTGGCCAGTCCCAGCCACAGGTGGGGTTACCCCTAGGGGGCTGAGAAGTCCCATCAGGAGGGGAGGCCTGGGGTTCCACAGCAGGCTTAGAGGAAGAAAGAACATCTTCACTCCAGAGCTTAAGGGGAGCATGGTGTCTGCGGATCCCTGGGGGTTTCAAGGCCCTGGGAATCAAGTCCTGGCCTCTATGCTTCAGGGTCCCCTGCTGCCAGCTGCCTTGGTGGAGGGCCAAGGAATCCCTATTTGCTAAGCCAGCCCTGACTGTTCCCGCAGGCTCCCCACCTCCATGTGGCCAGCAGGCCTCATAAAGAAGGTGAAGTCATGTCAGCTGGCTCTCTCTCAGCTGGCCCAGAGTAGAGGAGGATACACCCCAACCCTGCGGCTGGACTGAAAACCTAGCTTATTATTACAGGACCGGCAGCCACACCGAGGCCCTCTGGGGCAGACAGAATGTCCTTTGTTTGCGGGAGAACTCAGCACCTATGAGGTGAGGAAAACGGGTCTGTACAAGGTCCTTCCCCAGGATAAGTGAACCCATCTGACTATCTCGCAAATGCTCACAGAAACAGCACCGTGCATAAATAGGGGTATATCATCACCGCACTGCTGGAGGTTTACACAGACGGCTGATGTCACTGCACCATTAGTTCCAAACACACTGTACCCGAGAAACTAGAGGAGGGGGGCCCTAGGCACCGGCTGCGGCATAATCCAGGTGTACAGCTACTTAGCAGGCCATGAGAGGCCTGTGCAGGGAGGCCAGTGGAACGACAAGCATACTAAGTCCACGGACACGGAGTCCACTGACGAGACTCAGAGTGATGCACCAGGGCAGAACTACCCGTCGGGTTTCAGGGCTGTCATCTTCACAGAGCACGCGGCCACATCTGTCTCCCGCAGCCCAGCTGGTGGATTCCAGCTCGAGAGATTCCGGTTAGCAGCGAGGACTTCATCACTGTGCCCCCAGGGCTCTTTGCGGACTGAACTAGTTGTCAACAAGTTGATTCTGACGCATGGGGACCCCCGAGAATGGTGCTCCCCAGGGTGCTCGAAGGCTGAGCTTTTAGGATTAGACTGCAGGGCCTTTCTCACAAGGCTCCTCCTCCCAGCCTTTCAGTGAGCACTTGAACCACACAGGGGCTCTGTGTAAGGAGAGGGAGCTGCTGTTTGTTTGGAAGGGCCTCCGAGAGTCTCAGAAGTCATGCTGCCGTCTCAGGAGGTCAGTTCTTGATGCGCCGCAGCAGCAAAGCCGGGCAGGAGGGTGGGAGAGCAGGCATGACCTAAGAGCGCGAACAAACCCACCACCATCGGAGTAACGCGTGCACCTGGCTTGGGCCTGCAGTCAAATGAAGAAGCGATTCAGCACCCCCACGCTCTCTGCTGAACCTGGTGCCCAGATCTGCCCTCTGGGCTGGTCTCTGCAGAGTTCTGTAGGCGGCTGGCAGGACCACAAGCAAGCCAGAAAGTGGACAACCCGTTGGCCACGATTCCAGGCTCCCATCTCAAATTGAGAAGGCATTTCCTCACAGGCTCCTAGTTAGGGAGGCGCACACCCAGCCGGCTATTCGGTCAGCTCACCTGCTACGCGAATGGACACCATGCAATGGTGGCTAGTTCAGTTGTGGCCACAGTGGTATCATTAGAACCAGAAGGGCCAGTAGGATGGGGAAGGTCAAAGAGAGCCCTTTTCTTTCATCTATGAACTTATCTCTCAGAATGACTATTTTGGGGCTTTTTTGTGACTCTTTATCTTGGTTCGATTGGAAACAAGAGTGTGGGGCAGCACACACAGCGTTCTCAAGAAAAGGAGAGAGGGAGGCCTGGGAGCAGTTTTCAGTAGTGGAGTCAGGAGCTGAGGCCAGCTGCAGGAAACACAGACCCAGAAAACCCCACGGCCTGCCTCCTCATCTGCTACCGGAGGGTCAGGGGCTGGAAGGAAGGGCAAAGGCGTTCCCCGGAGCCCTGCATTCTCCCAGCCTGAGTCTGAGCCCACCTCTTATAAACTGGCAGGCGCTTTACATGACCAGGGCTGTAGCTTCTTCAGCTGTCAGATGGGAATCCCACTGATGTGACCAGGCATGGGGAGCGCTTAGCACAGCGTGCAGTGGGCAGGAAATGCGGTTGACAGGTGCCTCCCAGTGGTTTTCAGCGCACAGCCTGTGTCTTTACGGCAGCAGGCTGCCAAGGCATTGTCCCCCTGGGAACTGCTGGGTGAGTGGGAATGACCATCTGTTTGCTTACCAACCAAGTGTTTAACTGCTTGAGCTGCCAGGGCTTTTTTGTGACTCTTTATCTTGGTTCGATTGGAAACAAGAGTGTGGGGCAGCACACACGGCGCTCTCAAGAAAAGGAGAGAGGGAGGCCTGGGAGCAGTTTTCAGTAGTGGAGTCAGGAGTTGGGGCCAGCTGCAGGAAACACAGACCCAGAAAACCCCACGGCCTGCCTCCTCATCTGCCACCGAGTTGATTCTGACTCACTGTGACCCTACAGGACAGAGTAGCACCGCCCTCGTGGGTTCTGCAGGCTGTAAAAAGCCTGGTCTTTCTGCCAAGGCTGGTGGCTTTGCTGACTTTGAAGTTAGCGGCCCAACTCATAACCAGGATGCCCCCAGGGCCTCTCCCAGTAAAGCTGACAGCATTGGAGACCTTACGGACAGTTCTACTCTGCCCTGTAGCGTGGGCATCGGTTCGATGGCAGTGGGCTGGGCAGAGTTTGGATTAGTTTGGTGGTAGAGCAGCAAGAGCTAAGTAAGCATCACGGCTCTGTCCAGGGTCGGAATGGCAGCCTGAGAAATGGGGAAATGGAGTAAAGGTTTCTGGGGGTGGGGGTTGAGAGAGCAGCCATCAGGGCCCAAGTCCCCGGACTCCCACCCCCACAGCACCCCACGTGAAGGACACTCACTCTCACAGGTTTTCCCGTCGCCTCGGAGCACATGCCCCTCAGGACACTGGCAGGCAAAGGACGTGTCGGTGCTGACGCAGGAATATTCACAGCCATGGTCGCTCAGCAAGCAGTAATCCACCCCTGCAAAGCCACACAGCAAGTTAGGGCCCAGCCCACAGGGCAGCCTTCGCCGGCGAGGCACGGGGCTCCAGGCGATGGGGTGACAAGGCCGCCACGCTGGCCCCCAGCCACCTTGGAGCCCGTGCAGCCCCACGAGCACCCCCACCGCCGTCCCAAGGACAGGGGTTTGCTTCCAGAGAGGCGGGCGATGGACTCACGGGTGCAGGTCTTGAGGTCCTCGTTGATGAGGAAGCCTTCGGAGCACTGGCAGACGAAGGACTCATCCGTGTTGAGACACAGCTGCTCGCAGCCGTGGTCGCTCTGTGCGCAGTGATCCACCCCTGTCCAGTCACGGACAAGAAAACAAAAAGGACCTGAGGCCCACCTGATACACAGACAGGCAAACTCACCGACAAAACCAACCCCATGGCCCTGAAGTCCACTCCGACTCCTAGGGTGTCCAAGGCTGCCTCATCTTTCTCCCCGGGATCAGCTGGTGGGCTTGAACCCACGAACCTGGCATCTTGCAGCCCCGCACACCACCTAACTTCCAGCACCGGCACACAAAGCACTCAGCCCCATGGCCGTTCTGCCTCATGGTCTTGCCCAACGGTCCTCCCTAGGATTCGCATCAGTGTCTGACTACCCAAGAAACAAAGTAAGCACGTGTTGACCTGTGCTTCCTTAGCAATGCGTGGTGAGCAACTTCACAGGTTTTCACCTCTGCGAGGTTCTGCTTTTAAGTCTGGCTGACCTCCTCCGTCTTCCTCCCACCCCCCTGACACCCCCCTACAGAATCAAAGCCTCTTTTCAGATCTCCAGTCCCTGACCAGCAAGCCAGGTAAGCACGGGCTGGCGTGTGCTTATTTACTAATCTACCGGGAACAATTTCACACGACCTGGTGAAACCCAGTTGGAACTGCTCAATACATCATGTGAGACCCATGTGGAACCATTCCCGGCTGATTAGTAAGCAAGCACGCGCTGGCCTGTGCTTACCCTGGTTTTCTTACAGCAGCCTGTGGCTGAGTAGAGGAGAGCAGAGGCTTGAGTCACTGGGAGGGCTCCCAGAGCTTCAACAAAGCAAACCCGGCAGGAGGCCCCTCATGGACTACTTCACTCCGCTGGCATCCAAACAGGAGCTCTGCAGGCACAGTGGTTAAGCGCTCAGCTGCCAACTGTCCCCCAGGCTGCTCCCCGGGAGCAAGAGGGGGCCGGCAGCCTGCTTCCGCACAAAGATCCCCAGGCCTGGAAACCTCAACCGGCAATTCTCTTCTCTGCCCTCCAGGGTTGCTGTGAGTTGGAATTGATTCAACGTCAGGAGGTTGGTTTGGCCTCCAGAGGAGTCCTAGGAAAGGCTGCCTTCCCTCCTGCACTGCTGGGATCTCTGGAAAATTGAGCTTGTTTGTTTTTGTTCCTTTCTGTTTGCCGAGTAGAGATCTCCAGCCCCAAGCACTGGGGGCTGAGCCTGTAGCGCTGACGGCAGGAGCGCCACTCGCCCCATGTGGTCTTGGCAGCCCTGCTCTGTGGTCCCATCAGCACTCCCACCTAGGTGTCATTTCCATTTCACAGGGAAACAACGGGCTCAGAGGGGTCACCCTGCTTGCCCAGCGCCACACAGCTGGTAAGAGTAGCGCTTGGCAAAGGAGGTTCAGACACCAAACGAACAAACAGAAACGACTGCCGGTGAGTCAACTCTGACTCGTGACGAACCCCCGTGTGTCAGAGTGGGACTCTGGCTGATTTTTGTGAAGTCGAACACCAGGCCTTTCTTCCTAGGGCCTCTGGGCCCCCCTGAAGTCAGAGCATCAGAGGACTTGGGCACAGATTCCATCTCCCCCATTTCCTAGGCAGGAGAGCGGTGGGCCAGTCGTTTCTGGACTGGAGGACTGGGAATGGTAAGGATTGCTTTCTTATAGGAATGTGGAGAGGATTCCATGAGTGGACACAGGGGAAGCCCTCAACACGGTCCCTGGCCCATAGTAACTACTTAATCATTGTTAGTGTTACTGAATGAAACACTAGCTGAATAAGAAGAACTCTTTTCTGTTTGAAAATGAAAGAAGTACTCCCCCCCCACCTTTCTTTCTTCCTTTTCCCAAAACCAGGACCCCTAATTTCAGAGCTCTGGTCTGCATGTGTGGCCAAGGCCAGCACCAGAAGGCCACCCAGCAGTGGTGAGCAGTGCCCAGGTAGCCCAGCAGGCCACTGCCCAGCTTTCCTGGATGGAGAAACTGGGCCCACAGGGACTGGAGGGACACGGGAGGCCTTGTGCAGAGCGAGCGGGTCTTTTCACGCCCTCAGGGCTTGGGCTTAGCATTGCTGCCTTCTGGAACTTTCCACTGCACGCACTTGCAAGAAATCCTTGCACGAGCTAGATGCTGATGTCTCCCTTGGCCCACCACAGCCTCTCGACGCTGGGGAAAGTCACTTAATCGCTCCATGCCTCCACACCCCATCTTCCTCCAGGGGTCAGAATGCAGCGGCCCTGGAGGACAGAGGACAACTGAGGACCAAAGGAGTTAGCCTGTGGAGAGGCCTCACAGACCTGGTCAGAACTTGCTTTGATTATAGCCACGGGCTTCCTGAGCCCCTGAGGGGGAGCAGAGAATCCTGACATTCTTCTGGGGGATATTTGATAGAAATGGCTTGGTGTAGATGAAGTCCCTTCAATAAGTTCATGGGAAAATAGAGTTCAGAAATAATAAACCTCCCCGTCCCCTCCCCCTCCCGCCCTGCTGTTTCGGAATCCCCTCGTACTTTCTTAGCTGACTAGCATCCCTGGGTGGTTAAAGGTTGACGTGTTTGGCTCTCACCGAGAGGTTGAAGGCTTGAGTCCCCACAGAGGTGCCTTCAAAGAAATGCCTGTAGATCTACTTCCAAAAAACTAGCCCTGGGAAACCCTGTGGAGCCCAGTTCTACTCTGACACACACGGGGTCGCCAGGGGTCATCATCCACCAGAGAATCTTTCCTATGAGAGTGTCCCGGAGAGACAGGACACCCTGGTGTCCTCTGGCCCTGGCTCTGAGCATGCCTATGCTCCCTCAAGAAGGGAGGGCAGGCCATGCACCCCTCCCCCTGTCCCCCACCCACGGTCTAAGTGGGCTCAGTCAGGCCACACCCAGCCTGCCCCAGCTCCTGCAGGAAGGTCCCGTAATCTGGAAAGAAGCTAGGATCCCCACAGATCCGTCTTCAGCAGGGTGTGTCCTCCCTGCATGCAAGACCCTCTGTTCTCACCAGCTTTGCACAGGCCTCAGCGGGGTACTGACTTTTGCACCCACCTTCTGGTTCAGAAGCCCTTGAGCCTCCAAGATCAGGCCCCTAGGAAGCCTTGCCGAGGCACTGGAAGGCAGAAGGGAGACAGGCTTTCCCGACGACCCCTCTGACCCTCACACTTCATCCAGTGGGAAGCGTCCCCTCCTGGAGGGTTTGGGCCCAAATGCTCAACAGCTGCACTGTTCTCGCTCACAATCTCTCTGTCTCCAAAGCTGGAACAGATGTACGTGCGGCTTGCTGGGTGCATGCCACAGAGAGGGCCCTTCCTACGTTTTTTCTGTCACCGGGGCCACAGGGAGCCACCGCAGTGTTGGTGGGCTCCCAGCCTGCTGGCCTGGCCAGAGGAGCCTGTGCCTCATCTGAAGGACAGAGCCGTCCAGCTGGGCAAGCCTGCCAGCTTCCAGGCACTGACCATGAAATGGGGCTTTGTTGTGGCTCTCACACAAGGAAATGGGAGAAAAGCACCTGAGTTTCTCCGCTCTGCCCTCAGACCAGCTCAGGGTCTGTCCCTTCTGTTCTGTGCCAATGTGGGGTGACACAAGGCCAGGCACTGGTCACTCTCACGGCGCCATGCTAATTGTGAATGACTACCATTGACTGTGCGTACCTTGTGCTAGGCCCACAGAGTCAAATGGCCCCATGATTCTCCTTAACCCTTCAGGATCACGAGTGGTATTCGCTGTATTTACCATTGAAGAGAGGAAATCAAGTCTGGGAGAAATTAACTAACTTGCCCAGGAGATGAGGTAGAGCTTGGCTTTGAATCCAGCTCTGGTTCCCAGCCAATGCTCTTAATGGCAACTAAGAATATAACAATAGTAAGAATAAAACTCACTGCCATGGGATTAATTCCATGTCAGAGCTATAGGACAGTGCAGAACTGCCCCTGTGGGTTTCTGAGACTGTAATTCTTTTTTTGTTTTGTTTTAAACCGCTTTCTTAGCACTTAATCTCCATGAATTCAATAATTCGATCACATCAAGAGTTATATAATTCTCACCACATTCAATTCTAGACCATTTTCTTCTTCCTTGCACTCATTGTTATTTGTGTCATTTTCTTTTTCTAATTGTGGTCGTTACATAATCTGTTGTCAATTTGAGACTCTTATGCGTGAAGGGGTGGAGTTTAGCCTGTCAGTCAGGTCACAGCTTGATGACCTCATTTGGAGGTGCTAAGGAGAGAAATGGCTTGCTGGAGGCAGGACACATACTCACTCCCTGTGAGACATTCCTGTTGACAAGACACATGGAACTACGCTAGACCCCTGGAACTGTAGGATCCATGTGAAGACCCCTGCCAGCGCTGAGATGCTCACACCGCCACTGGATCCACAAGCCTGCATCCACTGGCCTGTGATCTTCCTGCATTCAGCATCATTGCATGTGTTTCATGAGTCTGAAGAGGACTTTATAATAGATTGGTATAGGACATATAGGCTAATATCAGACTTCTGGACTTGATCTGGACTGGACTGACATATTTTCTCAATATACAATTGCCCTTATATATAAAGCTCTTTAAAAAAAAAAAAAGCTCTTTCTTATACATCTAAGAGTGTCTATGAATTTGTTTCTCTAGTCTACCCAGACTAACACACTAATTGTGGCAAACATACACAAACAAAATGTTCTCCAATTCCACAACTTCTACGTGTATAATTCAGTGGAGGCTGTCAAACTCTGTAGGGAGGAGAAAGCCGTGTCTTTCTGGTGGTAGTTAATATTTGCTGAGCGTATGTAGTTGGCTTGACAGCACTGCGTTCTCAGTGTCCCATAGGCACGGACACTTTTGGTCTTCACAACTCAACTTAGGAGGTGGGAGTGTTGTTGTTGGTTGACACCTGACTTGTGGCACCCCTTGTGCACTGCTCTAGCAGTACCAGAGGGACTTCACGCTGTGACTGATTAGCAGCAGATCACCAGGTCTGTCTTCCAAGGCGCTTCTGGCTGGCCTTCAACTGCCATCCTTTTTGTCCAGTGGGTAACTGTTCACACCTCAGTAGGAAGCCCACAGTACTTATAACCCGCTTTATGGATCATGA